TCTCTGTTTCCGGTCTGCATCACAATTTGCTAGTTTTGCTAATTAGTTAACATGTAAACTACAGATGACCGTGGCAAACTGTAGTCACAAGGAAGTTTTTGGTGCAGCACCTTATATATCACCTAGCAACAGCCACCAACCTCCAGAAACCATTCACCAACTGGTCAATTTTCCCTTGAGGCCAGTGGTTGTATCGAGTCTATTATAAATTTCTCTCAAGCAGTCATAGCTAACATGGTGGACAATATGCAAATAATGGCACACAAGAAAGTGCATATATCATACATAAAAATATACCAGTGCTATTGTTTCCCTAGGTTTAATAAAGACCAAGGAACGAGACTGTAAGGTACACAGTGATCTGTACTGGACAACAAAATTGAAGAGAAAAACAAAGAACTGTGATACACAGAGTCTAAACAGTGAAGTGTAGGAGACAGGCAGCATGCATGTAGATAATACCACCATAATACGTCTTTTACTGTCCAAATCATCTCTATAGTTATTTATATTCATTACAAAGTCTTTTAACTTGGACAGCAGCTTATAATTGTTTTAAAAATTACTGTACAAAACAATAACACTTTGTTAGTTATGACAATATATTGATTCTCTGAAGGTTAAACAAATAAGACTAAAACGCCTTCATACTGTGCTATGCTGGTCTTGGTGTTCACCGACAGAAGAAATGAATGCATAACCTTCCTGTGAATACAAATATGGAGCAATCATCATCACTGAATCCATTAACTTTGTTGAACCGGTAATGGAATTAACCAAGAAATAAAATAATATATCGGACAATAAAGCCCTTCCCACTCCTTTTTTTCTGAACATGTTTTATACTAAACAACCGGTGATGAATTATGCAGAGAATGTACAAAATAGAAATCCCTAATGCATTCCTTTTTCAAACATAATTTTGCTTCGAGCCACAGAATATTAGCCCTTATAATGAGAAATAAAACGGCTCTTTAGATTTGTGGTTGTCTCTGTAGCATCATCTATAAAATACTCACAGGACTTTAAAGCCAACATGAAAAACATTATCCAGCCAATGACGTGGAGATCCAGCTTTTTAAAATAAAACCACTCAAATAGATCCTCTAGAAAAGAGTAGAATTCTTGAAGCAGAATTCATTGAACAGAATCATATGAACAGCAAAACAGTACATGACAGTATACAGAACAGAACACATAGCAAAGCAAGTAAAGAAAACCACGGAGTACAAAGACACAGACAGAATAAGGTGGAGGGAGGCATATCTGACCCTTCTTTTATAGGTGACCATAACCCCTCCTCCTGTTGCTGGGTAACTTTTCACTTATTTGGTTTTAAGTTTAAACTATTTGTATTTTCCCAATTTTACAAATATCAATTTAATATGTTTGTCAGTGTTTTTCAACAATCCATATATGTCGATCTTACATATATTTGTTCTCTTTTTGATCGTCAGGACTTGTCTTACATAACTTTCTGGGTTTTCTTCCCAGACCTTTATCATCTATCATTTCAATTAGTCCTTTTGACAGTTTTATGGCCAAAGTGAATTCCAAAAACAACACGTCGAGTGCCAGGTTCAAGGCAGCTGTACACGGTATAGGTATATAGTAGGGGTGCAACAATACTCGTATCGATATTGAACCGTTCGATACAGTGCTTTCGGTTCGGTATGCATATGTATCGAACAATACAAAATTTGTAATTTATTTTATCAACTTTCCTTCTGACAATGCTGTCTGTGTTGAGCGCTCAGTGAATCTGCGTTCGACTACTCCGCCTAGGTTGCACTGTCAAGCGCAGATCCACTGAGCGTTCAACACAGACAGCATTGCCAGAAGGAAGAGCGCAGGGCAAGCTAGCGAGACAGAAGCTAAGCTCTCCTTGCAACATGGCAAATTGAACCCCCCACCACCCTCATTCAGATCTGGCGTTTGGAATTATTTTGGTTTTCATGTGACGTATGACCCTGAATGTAAGCGCGTCATGGACTAAAGTAAAACAGTATGTTGGATGTGCCACGCAATGCTCAATTACATGGGTGGGAACTAGTGTGTTAGCGCAGTTAGCTCGTTAACATGTTGGCCGTCATTTCAACGAGATTAACGCTGACAGCACTAGTGGGAACACAACGAATATGACTGCACATTTACGCTGACATCATCCTAGTGCAAAGACAAGTGGAAGCAGACAAAAACAACAAGCACGCATGCTACAAACTTTACCCGAGTCATTTAGACAGCCGTTAGCACATGATTCTCCTTATGGGGACCTGATATGTTTAATATTGTGGCGAGCTCAGACAAGGAGGAGACGGAGGTGTCGTTTGGTCTTGCTTCCCGTGAGCTAGCCAGGGAGCACAGCCGTTTATTGACATCTGCAGAAGAACACTGCCGCTAGCTAACTGCTCAGCGCGGCAACCGCACAGCAACAACAACAACAACACACAGGGCGCCCTCTGACCCCGGAAGGACACACCGTTGCAGCGAGAGGGCGTCACCCGTCACTATGGCAACATAAACAAAACATAACTGTACAAACAGAACCCCGAACAGCCCTGACCCGCTACAATATGCTGCTGAGAATATAGCCCAGAAGAAGTGTATAGTATTGCTTTTATTTTGGAAAGAGCCATTTCTCTGTATTAAACTCTCTTTTCCAAAGATGAGTGATTCCTCAATCAGATATTAATTTTTTTAATTACTTTTGTTTCAGCAACATTAAATTTAAAAACTGTACTTTTGAGTTAAAATATATATTTATAAGTTTAATAAACGACAAATTAAAAAGGCATGAACATTTTTTTTGTATTGAAAAAATATCGAACCGTGACACCAAAGTATCGAACCAAACCGAACCGTGAATTTTGTGTAGCGTTGCACCCCTAGTATATAGGTATATACAAGTATAAATGATTTCAGATTATACATATCATCAAAGAAATCCACAACAACTAGACCATTTAATATTGTTTTTTTTTTTATCAGTATGCAACCAAGTGCAAAAAAACAGTCCAAGCATGGAGTATATTTTCAATCAGAAATGTTTCATCTCTGAATTGTTGATTATGATGTTTATTGTACATTTTTATATATTCATTGTGTGTGTGATCAAAAAGAAAATGGTTAGACTCACAAGATAAAATACTGCTTTTCTAAATGGAATTCTACAGTCTTTGTCTGTCAAACACAAAGTCACATCGCTCTCATCATGTGACCCATTCTCACTACATCATCCCAAACCCTTTTTCACGCTCTACTGCCTCATCTTATGCTCCATCTCCTTTCTTCTGTCTGTTCTTTTGTTTATTAACTCCTGCTTTTCACAGTTTCTAATGTTCATCCTTTCACTTGGACCATTTTTCTCTCCTCAGTTTTGTCAACTCAGAGAGACTCAGAGAGCAATATCAAAGCAATTCATAACCTGCAGGATGTACTGAGTGCAATATCCATCCCCACACCTCAGTGTTGCCAGCATCACACACTTCTTCTGTCCATCTCCCTCATATTCACTGCTCTCTCAAATGCAGCAGAATGAGTTTGTGCTTCAAAGGTTATGTTTTATGTGTTCGCAAATGTGAACATACAAGAACCGTAACCTTTATCACAGAGAGCTTGTTGTTCTTTTTCATTTATTATATTTTATTATCAATAACATAATACTCTCATAGACTACATTCATCACTAGGATATGGTTCCAAAAATTGAAAGTGATAGATTTTCTATTCTCTACTTGTTACCTTTATTACCCTGTTTTGGACAAGTAGCTGTTGTGAAAAATTGTGACAAATTACATAAAACCAAAGAAAAATCAGATCGTGCACTGTGGAAAAAAAATAAATGTATCCTATTTATCAGTTCTTAGACACCTGTGCAAATAAATGTGTAAATTAGGTTATTCGGTGTGTTTTTGTTCATTTTATAACTTCTGCATTGTTATATAATTAAAAACTATAACAGTATAATTAAAAATGCCAAAGTAACCTTTAGGAATTTATTGTAAATGCAATATGGGAGTTTAGCTTTGTTTCAAGTATCACTCTGATTTTTTTTTAAGTTAAACTGATCTTTGATACTGAGAGACATTAACTTCTTCTCTTATCTGTTACCTTCTTCTTTCAGAGTCCCAAGTTGGAGCCACTTAAGGAGGACACACTGGCCAGTACATACAAGTCTGTAAGTCAGCACTGAAGCAGAATTTTTGTATTTTTCTTGTGACCTTCTTATAGGCTGGCACAGGACTTCAAGGTGAAGTTTCACGTTTTTGTCACTAAAAAAACACACAAACAATAAAAAAAACAGTTTGCATACTGTTTATGGCCACAAATTCTGAAATATGATATTTTTGTGGCTGAAGCCACTGCAGCTTTACAGGACGACTCTGTCTATACTAACAGTATCTTGATTGACCTCTGCTCATTAAAACAGCTCTAGTTGAGTAGCAAATATTTTTTCTCGTATGTGCATTACTCAACATAAACACAATACATGGATATACAGAATTGGATCATGTTCTTGGTTTTTTTTTCTTCTCTATCTCATCTCATCAAGTTTATAACACTACAATAATTGCTACCAGTCATTCAAATTAATCGTGTATTTTGTTTTGTGTATTTGATAAAATGTTATACAGGAAAAAAATTTAAAAGGCAAGTTGTGATGCTTTGTTTTCTCAACACTTTCTCATTGAATCAAGAATAAGAGAGTCATTTCTAAATTGTCTGATTTGAAAAGGTAACATCTGGACAAAAGAAGGCTGACTCCAGATCCAATTAATAGATAAGAGAAACACGCACAGATGATGAGGTTTTAACCTTTAGTTACAGGTTAGCTGGTGATAGTTATATAAGAATTTTTATAACAATAATAGAAAGGTAAATGTCTGTTGTAAGATGTATAATTGGCAGATTGTCTCCTTTTTGACTTCTTTTAGTGTTGGAGTTTAGATCTTCTGCTTGTAACAAGTTCAAAGAGTCTTAGTCATTAGTCCTAAATCACAAAAGTTTCTCACCCATGTTTTGTAAAACAGATTTTTTTTAGTGTGTTAACTCTTAGAGCTGAATATAATTTTTCACCTGACAATGTAGAGCATTTTTTGCTCTCTGGAACGATGAAAAAATGCAGTAATCGCATTTGGTAGAAAATAATACAGTGAAATTACTTTACAAGGATTCTGTATGCGTCATCCGCTTTTAAATATTACGAGCACTGTAACTTATATAATAGGCAATACCATCCACCTCCATCTGACTCGGGTAGTGACAAAAAAAACTCCATTGACTGGATGCACATTACATTTCAGATCAAGGTATGTCTCAGTGTACATTCATACATTTTATTGAGCTGTAGGATGGACTCACCGTAACTTCAAATTGCTGGGAGAGAAAAGTGGAGAGGATGTTGATTCAGTGCACTGGCAGACCAAATGGTAAACATGGCCTGAGTTCAAGCCCAGAATGATTTGCTGCCATTTGCAGGATTGTTCCCAGGTACATCAATCTCTAAGGAACAAAAATGATTTTTTGTCTTTTTTCTCCTTTCTTATTGAAAGTCGATAGACTGCCATGGAAAGCATTTAAGAAACTTGAGATATGTTTTCAGAATAAAAAGCCTTCAGCTATTGTTGTCAGTATATAAAGAAAGTGGCAAAGTACTGAGAAAATCAAAACTGAGGAGTCATGGCAACATAGGTATTGTAGCCCAGCTCTAGTATCAGTATTCTGTAATCACTTTCTGGTTTTTTAAATTGTGAAATGTCTATGAATTTCATTAAAACCAGGATTTTGGTAACATTCACAATCACAACCAAATCTACTGAAGTGAGAGTAATGCTAAGTGAAATAACACTTATCTATTTGAATTTATTTGTCATCTGATGTGATGGATGGTGATATCAGTACATATTTGCTCTGAAAGTATCCATCTTGATGCCATCTATCCTCATGCCTGCATTGACTTTTAATTTTTGTAACCAAATGTATCACATACTGCATAACCTAAACCCCATATCCAAATGCTAACCTACCCTTAACCTAATATAAATGTCTCCTCTAACAATCTATTGTGAACCCCAACGCTAAGTCCTAAGCAAAGAGCTGACCACTTTAAACAAATGTCATCATCCTAAACGTGCAAATCTCAAAAAGATCCTCACAAAGACAGACATATAAGGGCACAAACACACAGAGTGAGATCTTTGGTCATTTAATCTCTTTTTTTTTAATCCCTTTCTCTGTCTGATGTCTTATTGCCAACAGAATATCCTGCTGGTTCAGAGGCAGATGTCAGTGACTGATGTCAATCTGGACAATTTCCAGAAAGTTCTAAAGAGCTACATTGACGCCACCTCAGCTCACTCTGACAACCTGCAGTGAGTGTCTTGCTAGTTTCCAGGAAAAGCAATGCATGTTTGAATCAAAGCATGGGACTCTGCTGCTGTGAAAACTCCTGGAGTACTGAGCAATTGCCAGTATATGTGGTCCATAACTGTGAGCAGCATAATACAAATGACATCTAAAGTAATAACGATTTACTGGTTCAAAAAGTGACTATATCGCTCACATAACTAAAACAACACTTTGGAACTTGGTTTTGATGTTGTGCTTGTCTTGCCTAATTTTAATGACATCCCTCAAAAGATTCAAAGTTTTCATGTACTTTATCCCTGCTGAGTGCAAACTCTGTTTCACTTTGTATCCTCTTCTTGCCCCACTCTACTTTTCTTCTCGATCTTGCTGTCAGTGTGTCCGTTCAGAAGCTCCCAGGAAAGTCGTGTTACATAATGCATGAGTTCTGGCAAGACCGCCTCTCCTGGATGAGGTCAGTATGGTGTGTTTGTGTGTGCATGCGTGTGCGTTTGTGTGTTAGATATTGGCAGACGGTTTGGCACTCTTAACTTTTTGATGGAAATGTTCCCCACCACTGAAGATGAGCAGATGGCCCAGCTCTCAGTTCGCATACTCAAACACAGACGCACAGACGCACTAAAACATACACACACACAAGAAAGCAGCTTAAATGCTTTAAAGGGTATCTGTGCTGCACACATATCAATGAATATATTAATTTATCAGTTGGAACATTGCAAGAAAAAAATCCAAAAGACTTTTGGTAATAAGGGATTTTTTTCTGAGCACATATAACTTTGTACGTGCTCATATTTATTCAGTTTTTGAAACCTTTAAAACATGATGTCGCAGAGAAAATCAATAAACTGTTGTTTTATTTGCTGCTAATATGTACATGATGTACAAGATTTTTTTTTTTTAATTATATTTTAAATAATATCAAGTCTGCTACGATGTATTTCAACAGAAATCAACAGCTGATTGACACACAGGTCTGTTTTGTTCTGTTGTTGTCTGTGTCCACAGCTATCTTCAGTCTAACAGCAGTAAAGACTTCCAACGCTGCATTATTGATATGTTGGAGGATGCTGAAGTAGTATCCACTATGTTGCTCCCAGGTTTGTATATGTGTGACTGGGAGAGCAGGATTTGTAGTGTATGTGAAACTAAAATGATACTATTCTAGAAAACCTGCAATCTCTGCTTAATGTGCAATCAGTGCATGAAAAATGTCGCCAAACCTCCAAAATTGTGAAAATATTTGTATGAAAGCCACATATATTTATGCTGTCAGTATAAATCTGATTTATATGTGTGCTTGTCCCTAGAAAAATACCCTGAAGATATTTATAGTCTACATACATCAAGATATGTTTGAGCTGCTTGATGATGATGTCCATTTATGACTCATAAGTCCATTTTTGGCATCGAAGCAGATGCATTTTAGACTTTTTCCAACTGAGAGAGTGCTAGCTGCTCTTGCTTTTCTTTATATCCATTTGCTCACTGGTTCTATGATCTGTCATTCTTCTGATGATTTCATGGCAGTTGTTTGGCCAGGTTACTCAAACAGTTTCCCTATTTCCCCTTTTTTTTGTGATTTCTTTAGAAAAATAACCTGCCTGGATATGAGAAATGTAAATCATATATTGTGCTCCTAGTATCGCTGAATTTATTTGCATATAGCGACCAATTACAAGTAATTGTGGCGACTAACTGGTTGCTTGGACATTGATTGTGCAACACCATTGATCACTAGGACACAATTTTCAGGGAGGCAGGACCTGATCGGAGTCTTTAAACAGCTGCAGGCCAGCTTGGACAGACTGCTATCACTTTCAGAGAGATTGGCTTAGAAATAATTTACAATTGCCTCCAGAGTGCACGCTGCAGGCAATCTGTGTTAGTCTGCACCAACAACACACCTAGGATGAGTCTCTTTGCACTTGGGGACTCATCTCAACTGGTTGTATTCTTGTTATATTCATATATAACAGCGAGGTTGCTGAGCTTCTATGTCAATTTGCAGTTCAATTGTTGTCCTGCAGCAGCTATGTCAATGTTTGTGAAGGAGGTTATAGCTAGACTCTGAATCTAAATAGTTAATATTAATTGATGTTTAATGTGGATTTCTGTGTATGTAGAAGGCAACAAATAAGCAGCAGACAGCAACATATATGTGATTTTTTTATTAACCATTTCAAAGGCCAGTGTGATTGGAGCTTAATAGTGTTTGGAGTAATGGAGCCTTTTCCCTCAAAACTCAAATAGTTGCTACTGGTGTTGTGTTTATCAGAAGTGAACCTACATTTTATTTATGATTTTCACTGTGCTAGCGCTACTGTTGTGCGCAAACAGACGATACTAACTAATAAAAATATTTTTTCGAGGTGCACATACTAGATAACTATTCACCCCTGTATCTGGTATCCCTGTAACTAGTACTGTGGTCATTTAACATTAGCTGAAAGTAAGTTTAGTTACTGTGTTAATCACTCTAAAGGTGTTTACTAAGTTAATACATTAGGTTTAGATGTGTTAAGGTGCACTAAAGTGTCAAACTATGCATATGTGAGCACATTCATAATTCCAGACAATAATTCATTTACAGTGCAAAATAATGGATTGAATAATGGAAAATAATGGATTTCTCTAACTAGCCTAAAGGAGATACAAACACTAGATAACATGTTTGCAAGTCACAGAAATCAGGGTAAGGTAAGTGCGAGATATATATGGGTGACCGTGGTTCAGGGGGCTGGGAAGCTCATCTTGTAACTGAAAGATTGCTGGTTCGATCCCCAGCTCTGTGTTGTGTCTTTGGGCAAGACACTTTGGCTACCGGTGAAGTGCCGATGGCACGATATGGCAGCCTCACTTCTGTCAGTCTGCCCCAGGACAGCTGTGGCTACAACTGTAGCTTACCTCCACCAGTGTGTGAGAGTGAATAAATAGTGGAATTGTGAAGCGCTATATAAATGCAATCCATTATTATCATACGCCTGTTTTCTTTCAGACACATGCATAAATATTTTTTAAAAAGTCAATTATGAACACATTTAGAAAAGCGATTTTCTGTGTGACGCACATATTTACTTTGTTCGTCATCACATCGCTGACTCCTCAACACATGGAAAAGTCCAGCAGAGGCTGCAGTGGGTCTCATCTCATTTCTCTCGTCTTCACATTTGAATAACTAGCTACAGGAAACAAATAAAAATTCTTCAGAAGCCAATGCTGTTAATATTTATTTTTGCCTCTTAGCTCCATTGCAGTGCTGATTTAACTGTGTGGGATGTATGGGTTGTGCTTGTTACTAGGTTACCGTACACAGTTGTTTACATCCACATCTCTGACTGGTATGTCACGTAAGCTTGCTGACTATTATAGGCATACGGTACTGATCAAATATCTTGAGCCACCCCTCATTTCTTTGAATTTTTCTAGGAAAAAGAAAAGTAGGTTCAGCGGTTTATTGAAATGTGCAAATGTACATGGAAATACCAAACATGAGGGAAAAACAGAGTGATTCTAACAAGCTTAAAAGTCAGTATTTGGTATAAAGTGTGTGAACTCTCTTAGGTAAGCTTTCTGGCAATGTCTTAAAGTAGTCTTCAGGAACAGTTCGCCAGACTTCTAGAAGGACATTCAAAGCTCTTTTTTGCATGTGGGCTGCCTTTTGTTCTGTTCTCTGTCAAGATGATTTCACGCTGCTTCAATAATGATGAGGTCCATGCTCTGGGGAGGTCTGTCAATGAGTCCTAGCGTTCCATTGTGTGTTTTTCAGGTATTATTTAATTGGATTGTCAGCAAGTTTATGATCATTGTCATGTTAAAAAGTTTCTTAAGGACATGATGTTCAGTAACTGTTCATCTGCTGTAGATATTTTCTCTTTTTTTTAGGCCTGCCACTTTTTCTTCTGCACACCATGTTGAGATATGCCAGCTTTTTGGCTAAAGCTCGTTGGGAATCTCCTATTGGTGCAAAAGTATTATTTTATGCCTCTCAAACTGTGTGATGATTTTTAGGTTAGTGTTAAGAAAAAAAACACTCCTCTGTAAATGGTAAAAGAACTGGACTGAAAATGAGTGAAAAAAGCAGCCAATGTCCAAAGAAAAACTTTCAACGACCTTCAGAGAGCCTGAAGAACTGTAGCTCAAGACCAGTTTTAAAATGACACTGCTCGGAAGCATGGGTTCGAATTTAAGGTTCACAACCGTAAAGAAACTGTTGTGGCCCCTGAGTCAGTTGTCATGGGGAAGGAGGTAGAGTACACATCTACAGGTTGCTAGGGCAACCTGGTGGGTAAGCATCACAGGGGGATTAAGCTCCCCGTAGCTGGTGAATTTGAACCCAGGGCCTTCCTGCTTTGAGGTGACAGTACAAATACTGTGTTATGCCTTGAGGCTAGAGCAGAGGTTTGGAAACAGGTAAAATCCTTTACACTGAAAATGGTTCAGATGACTAGAAGTAAGAGGCCATTGGGAAATGTGTCTTCACACGTTAGCAATAAGATTGTATTTAATACGTGTATAACTGCACTTTATTAAACTCTTTTACTTAACTTTTCTTTACTGTTGTTTCATTACTTTTGAGAAAAAGAAATTGTTTCATATGTAACTCTATGCGAAGAGGTGCGTTTGGGTTAAGAAAAGTATTTTTATTCAAGTAGCTGTTAGCTGCTTCTAAGGTGTTGGTTGCTGGGGGATTCTTGTGAGGGCAGATGGCAATGATAAGAGGAAGAGAGAGGATAGTTTATAAAATGTAAGAAGAGGAGGAAGGGATCGACCTAGGAATCAATAAAGTTAAAAATATATAAAACAAAACAATCTGCTGACCCTAAAAGCTGTTTTTTTTTCTCTGCACTTTTCCTTCTTCTTCTTTTTCTTTGGTCAGTTGTCTGAAAGTCATAGTTATACTGCCAGACTTTATTGATTTACAACTAGGTATCTATTTACATCTTAAGTAGTTATAGACTTAAAAGCTCACCAGGTGAAACATAAAATCAGTGGACAGTTTGAAACAGCAACACAGCCTTTGCGCGCACACAAAAATTGGAGTAGACTGTTTGATTGTTGAACACTGTTGACCTTTCATTGTATATCATTTTGGTGTGAGTTGGCCAAACTTTCTCGATTTATGTGTGTTTCTCCAGCTTCCTGGTGGATTATGACTAACAACTAGCAACTAAATCCAGAATGTCACATCTACTGCCTACACTGTCACACGGACAAAGGCACGCTGGCGCATCAACCCACCCACCCACATGTACTCTTGCACGCATACAAACACACAAACACACACACACATACAGAACATTTCAAAAGACATCCACGTGTTTGAAATCAACAGGAGACCGAGACAATGGCGTCATCCAGCATTCTCCAGCAGCATCTTTTCATGTTCCTGTCTTGGACTGCTCATTATTGTGCCGCTTTATGAAAAGGGATAGTTGCACACACTAGCTACTATTGACCTGAAAGTAACTGATTCTCTGCAACGCAAAACCCGTTCTATGAATTTTCTCCCCCTTGTCTCAATTGTGGTATGGCCTCCCTTTTTTTGCAGTGTTTGTCTGATATTATGCCAATGGATGGAAACCAAAAAGACGCTAATGTAGGCTACTAGAGCACACGCAAATTGGAATGAGATTACAATACCAGTAGGGTTTTGTGTATTTTGAGGAGTTGTTTACTGTTGAGTACAATTGATAAGGATGAAAAAGCAGGAGAGGATGAGGAGATGAAAGGTTACTGTAGCCTAAACATGCATGTTGATGTGGCCGCATCCTGGCTGTACATGCTGTATTATAGTGTAGCAGTGTATTTTTTTTTTCATTTTGCTATCCTACTATTATGTGCACAGAATGCCAAAAATGCTATTAAAATTACCACACCTGCCCTGACATTTCTCTATTGCTAGATACAGTGTACTAGTGGTCTGCTATTAGTTGCAGTGCATCTCTTCAGTCTGAGACACATTATCAGTCTCAAATGTAAAAAATATCTTAAAACATGCATATTTAAAATAAATAATACTTTGTGAGAAGATTTCATTGTATCACTAAGTTATAAAAGAAAAAAATGTATTTAATGCATCATGTATTTATTTTGATGATGGTGGAGTTTATGCCATCTGTACATATGGAAATTACATATATTCATATTTATGTTGTGCTTTGGTTTGGCAATGTACACAGCTAAATGACTGAAAAGCAACTTTAATAAAAATGAAAGATAACAACTGCTTTTTTTCATTAATTCTCAAATGGCATGGATCATAGATCTGCAGAGGAAAGAGGGGGGAAAATGTAAGTGCCAGACCAAAAATAAATAAGCAAAGACAATATGAAAGGTCTTTAAACTGGCTTAACAGTGGAAAGAAGCCTATAGGGAATATATTGAACAAGCTAAAGAGCAGTATGTATATATATCCATCAGGAGTTGATGTTGGCTGAAAGAGTGGAAAAAATGAGTGAAAAATGACTACATGAACTTTCATGACATTGATTTCTGATGATGTGGTATTTTAGGTTCACCAGCTTATAGCAGCCAGCAAGTTGACAAGAACACAACACACGCTGACATGTTAGCAAACTTATTGAACACACAAAACTTTGCTTACTCTAAAGAAAAGGTCAGTGGCTTAATTGGCTAAGAAATTCTCTGTGATTGTGTCTGTGTCTGAATTGATTGCAGACAACAGATACGGATATGTCTGAACATAACTGAGGGGAATTCAAATAACCCATATGGTAATCTGACAAGAAGAGGGGCAAATTGTGAGGCTTACAAATAGGGAGCATCCAAACTTCTCCCTCTACCTCTGGCAATAATTTTACTATCAGTGTTCCCTGAACCGTGAACTTCCTGCAGTGATCTGAAATAAGGGCAGAACTTGAAATTTAAACTTGCCCGACCCAGTTCATCCAAACGTGAAATGTCTAAGCTACAAAATTCACTCCAGTGGTTTCCAACTACATGTGGTTGTAACTTCATCACAGCTTGCATCACACTGTGTTTAATCAAGGTGTGAACAGCAATGCACTTTTACATGTGAAAAATGGTCAAAGTATTTTAAATCTGCACAGAAACACACAGAAAGTTTAAAAGAAATGTAGTGTGCATGCTTCCTTTTCCTTTGTAATTAGATTATTATAAGCTCTAAATCAAAATCAAAGTCCAGAACCTTCCTTTCAGCCAGCGTCTTTTTACAACACAAATGTGTAACTGTGGAAAATGTTTGTGCCATACTTGTAAGTGAACACAAATGTGTTCAAAGGTTCCATGCATTGATTGCTGGGCTGTAATATTTGATTGCAAGACTGATGCTGGCAAACTGAAGCCCTATCTCATCCCAAGCCTCCTCTCAGGCAGGCTGTCTGCTGTTAAGGCAGAATGAATATGTAGGCTCCGAGGATACGCACCCCCACCCCCTATTCCACTTCAGCTTTTCAAAATGCTGAGGGGTGAGTGTCACCACTACATCCACTGTTATTATGGTAGCGAGCGAAGGGTGTGTTTTAAAAAATTGCTGTTATGACAGAAAACAAAGCAAGTTGATGTTTGAAGTGAAACATTTCCATCTTCCCAGTGTCAGCCCAAACAAAATACACTTTTTTTTACATATAGTGAAAGATAATCTGCAAATATTATTTTTTCCTTGTTTTAAATTCTCCCGCAAAACCTGCAGCCTCTGTATGCATCTTTAATAGAACTGTTATAAAATGCTGTGCTGTATCTTTTCTTCAGGTGTTAAGAAAATGATATAGCATGGACAAAGAGTAATTGGAACGACTGAAGTGGTACCAACGTATTTTATATTCATGGACTGCTGGCCTATCAGCTTATTTAACATTCTTTGATTCTGGTATCACTCATTTCTTAGTAATTTCAAGTAAACTTTTTTCTGTGTTGTATTTATATTATGAAACTAGTCAGGGTTGTTTTTATACTGGTAAAAAAATAATTGAAATAAACACACACACACACACGCAACCCCGTTCAGCTATCTTAGTGAGGACCTTCATTGACATAATGGTTTCCCTAGCCCCTTACCCTAACTCTAACCATTAAAAATTAATGCCTAACCCTTACCCTTACCCTAAACCTAACCATAACCTAATTGTAACCCTGACACTAAAACCGCATTTTGAGCCTCAAAAAGGCCTTCAAACTTGTGAGGACCGGTGTGTGTGTCCTCACAAGTGACTGTTGGTTCTCACAAGTATAGTAGAATGCAGATTTCGGTCCTCACAAAGATAGTGAGAGAGGGACACACACACAGATCTTCCTATCATGTTGTGGGTCTGCTCTGGGGCTTTTTCACCACCTCTTTCTAGGACAAGACACAAGACAAGCTCTCAGGAGGCATCCCGGTCACATACCCAAACCACCTCACTCTGGCTCTTCACCTCATGGCTGAGAGATAACCCAGAGGAAGCTCATTTACTGCTTGTATCAGTAGTCTTGTGTTCTCGGCCACTGGCCAGAACTTGTGACCATCACTGAAAGTCAGAATGCAGATTGACATATAAATCGACAGCTTCAGTTTCAGCTCTTTGGTCAACACAGCAGACCATTACAGTGTTCACATTACTGCAAACAGCACCAATCTGTCAATCTCCTGTTCGACTCTCTCCTTCTTCATGAACAAGGAAATATTTAAACTTTTCCACTTTGGGCAGCAATTCATCCTTTACCTGGACTGGGCACTCCACCCTTTTCCAGTTGAGAACTATTATCTTGGACTTGGAGGAGCTTATTCTCATCTGTGACAAAAACCACACACTCAGCTGCAAAACATCCCAGTACAAGCTGAAGGTCATGAATTGATGAAGCTAACTGCATGATCTCCAAAAAGCCGAGATGAAACCATCAAAGCCTCCTTCCTCTACCCAGTGACAGCACATAGAAATTCTATCCATAAATATTATGAAGAGAAGTTGTGACAAAATGCATCCTCCTCTGCCCAGTTTGACTTACTGCTGGCAATACAAACCAAGCTCTCACAGTACAAAGACCAGAAATGACCAAAAAAAACTAAAGCTAACTGGACACAAAAGACAGCTACCAATTTGCCTTGTGCTATGCAAACAGCACCTTCCTGCCTGTTTCAGGAGGAACCTTTGATGAAAGGATATTCCAGCTGAGTACTGGGTAGTCAGCTGGGTGGAGTTTTCCTCACTCCTACAAGGGTCATAGCTGCTCAGATTAGAGCTTGGAACGTAACTTCAATAGCTCTCCTTTTCATGTGTGACATGACCAGGGCATGGCCCAGCTATTTCAGGTACAATAGATTCAGCAACATCTCTGTCATTCTGGAATTCCAGTCTGGGAAGTTCCCTATCCAGATGATGACGGCAGTGATGGTATCTGGGTTTTTCTTCTTTAACATGACTGAAAAGGTCCCCCTTAGCCCCCTGGATATTCTGTGTTAGTTTAATTGAAGACCCATGGCAAATATTAGATGTAGAAATACTTAACTTATTAATAAAAGTCAATACACTGAATTGGCCAAAATTATCACTATATGCAAGAGGTTTGATTTGTGCATTTTTGAGGTTTAGTATCCGCATTTCTTCTGCAGTCTTCAACAGAATATATCCAGCTCCTCTTTAACTCCTGCAGCACAAGAGATATGAGTTCTGCTGATTCTTCACTGCACAGACAGTGGATGCAAAAATAGACAATAAATAAGGTAGGTCACCTTATTTATTGTCTATTTTTGAGGTACAGCAGGGATTGTCCCAGTCTATGCCATTTTTACAGACAACTGGGATTCTGTGCAAGCAGACGCAGTGGATGAGCAATGTATATACAGAAACCACAGGGGTATGTGTTATTCATTCAGAATACAACCCTTGAGCATCAGGGGATTTCTCCTTGCAGTCACACTACATATGCCAGCATGATACAGAAATAACATGAGCTCGGGAGTGCTTCTTTCATTTTAATAGGTTTTAGTTTATATATATTTCTGGTTTGAAATATTACTCACTGCAATGGTTTTAATAAACAAAAAGATGGACAGTGAACTCTAACATATTTATGTACTCTATCATTTCTTTATTAAAGTACTAGTTTCCTTTAATTAAATTCCAGGTTGTGAAACATGTTTCTCTTTGTGACACCAATGAATAGCCAAAGTGAAATTTAAAGCCTTGTACTGTTATTTTGAATCCGAATAATGCTGCCGCCGCCTCTCTGTGCTCATCTCCTTCAGAGCAGCATAGAAAAAAGGGTCTTTTTATGCTCTTTCAGGCAGGTGCCCTTGGCTCTGATGTGTGCAAACACAGCTCATCACTTCAAAAAGCCAAGGGCTAGGGCTAAGGTGACCAAACGACATCTGTTGTCCCGTTTCATTGTTCTCTTTTCAGTCCCCCCTCCCCACCTATGTTACGTTCTTTTGCTGAAGGCAACACTCAAAAGGCACCTAAAGTCAAATCCTGTGCCACCTCTCTGTATTTTTCCCTTCTGGTTTATGGTTGATAGCAGAAAAGTTAAAACTTTTAATCAACACAAAATAATAAAGGTACGACTGTCAGAAATTTTAAATATTGTCTGCCAATGTTTCTTCTCTTAGAAACCTGATCTCTAACAAGGAACCCAACC